TCTCAAAAAAAAAAAAAATGTCTAGTTTGACAGTTACTGTGAAGATTAAATAAGGTAAGCACTTGGACACTGTTGTTTAAATACCTAGAACATAACAGACAGTCTACGTTTATAGGACAAGAACACATGGAAGTTGCATTTCCTCGTCAGAGTGCCTTTGCTAACTGTTAGGTTTCTTGTAGGAAGTATTTGGTTTTTTCTTTTTTCTTTTCTTTTCTTTTTTTTTTTTTAGAGAGACAGAGTCTCACTTTATCACACTTGGTAGAGTGCCATGAAGTCACAGCTCACAGCAGCCTCCCACTCCTGGGCTTATGTGATTCTCTTGCCTCAGCCTCCCCAGTAGCTGGAACTACAGGTGCCCGCCACAACGCCCAGCTATTTTTTTGTTGCAGTTTGGCCAGGGCTGGGTCCAAACCCTCTACCCTCGGTATATGAGGCCGGTGTCCTACTCACTGAGCCACAGGCACCGCCCAGGAAGTATTTCTTTTTGCCCTCTTTGTTTGTTTGAGACAAGTCTCGCTCTTTCACCTGGTCTTGAGTGCCATGATGTCATAGCTCACAGCAACCTTCAACTCTTGGGCTCAGGCGATCCTCCTGTCTGAGCCTCCCAAGTAGCTGGGACTACAGGTGCCCACCACCACACCTGGCTAGTTTTTCAATTTTTAGTAGAGACATGGTCTCACTCCTGCTCAGACAGGAGTGGTCTCCTAACTGAGCTCAAGCTATCCTTCTGCCTGGGCCTCCCAGAGCACTGGGATTACAGGTGTGAGCCGCCATAGGAAGTATTTCTTTTTCATTCAGTCAGGAGAGATTTGAGTTTCTCTGTGTTAATTGAGGAAGTATTTTGTTTTGTTTTGTTTTTTTTGAATAAAAAAAATTAACATACATGAGTTCCTGTATGTTAATAGTTATATGAATGTATTAAAAGCCCAAGAATTTCTATCTTTCAGTTGTTTACAATTCAGTTGATGATATATTGTCAGTGTATTATGAAAAGATGGAACATAAGGTGCATGTTTTAGAAGTATGGGTTCTAAAGAAGAAGAACGTGTTTAGAAGTA